AAAAGTTAAAGTATTAAAACTAATAGCATGTATGTATGTATGTATGTATGTATGTATGTGTGTGTGTGTGTGTGTGTGTGTGTGTGTGTGTGTACAGTTCAAATGTTTGATATTTAGTAGTAATCACATTACTTGAACTTTTTTTGTTGTACTGATAACAAATACATATTAGACAAAGCTGGGCTGTTACGTAAATGTAGAATAAAAATCTATATTGTGAAAGGTTAAAAATTTGTATTTTGTTTTGTACATTGAAAGATAAAGTTTATATAATTATTGTATGATTTTCATTTTTTGATAACATGAACAAATCAAAATTAATAAATTTTATTACATAAAACAATACATTTCCATCCATTTTGTTTTTCACATTAATTAGTAATTTCTTCTCTGATCAACATAACAATATGTTTAGTTACTAAATAAATGCAAGCCTTTTCCCTACAAAAAAATAAAAATAAGCAGAATAATGTAAGCAATATGCCACATACTTGTGTTTATTTGTTTGGCATTATAATATAAAACTAGATATTGGAATGTCCATAGTTTATGTATTTCTTTGAACAAATAACTTTTAAGTGACCTTTGGTCACAACTAACTATTCTCTGAAAATTCTTGTTAAAGGCCCCATGACATGAGAGATACATAAATTATGGAATGCTGCATGGTACCACCAAAAAAATGGAAATAAAGAATTTTCAAAGTTATGTTTTCTAGACCTAATAATGACTTACTCTATAGTTTATCTTGATGTTTATCAAGTCACAAAATTTTATGAAACAAAGGTGTAGTATTTTGAAAATGTGGGTGTTCTGTAGTATTTCTAATGCTTGTAAGATCAGTCCCTTGTTCAGAACTGCTTACTATTCAACTGTAACTTATAAGTTAGTCAGATGATGAAGCAGACTTTTCACAATTACTTAATGACACATTAAAATAAACAAAGAGAAACTTGAAACAGAAATTGAAATATGATGAGGTAAATTAACAAAATGATGATAATGAAGTAACCTGGTGACCTGAGAAATTAAATTTCAGTACATTATTTCTAAGAGAGGTGAAAAAACAAGAGTTTAAATCATGTTAACCTACTGATGTGACAAAAAAATTAAATTTTAGTTAATTCCAGATGGTAAAACCATCCTTAATATACTACATATCTAGCACTAAAAATTATCTATATAAACAAACATAACATTAATGTACACTAGTATTATTGTATTTTTTCAAATACCTGTTGAGCTAGCTCTTCTAAAAGTTCAAGGTCTTCTTCCATTTCTCCCACAGATGCTGTATTTAAAATATAACTATTATTTTATTTCAAAACCATATACAAAACATACTCCCGAGTTCTTTCAATTATAAGTTAACTTGCATTCATTTTTAGGCAGAAACGTATGCATTGGTGGAAAGAATTCAGCATAAAATGGTTTGTTATTATAATTGTGAAAAAAAAAGGCAATGCTTTGGATTGAATTAAATGTCATCATATCCTTCCTTTTTCAATTTTCCAAACCTGTTAATTAAATTTATTCGGATTTTAATTTTTCAAACTGATCCACACTAAGAAAGCATTATCAAGTACCATCCACTTTTGATTTGGTTGGATGTAAAAATTTTAATTTGAACTGCAAGACAGAAAGACATATTTGGTGGGCTGATTCCAAAACAAAGTTTTTCAGTACTCCTTTTGATTTAATTCTGAATAGATATTTGAACTCCTGGCAATATCTGTAATCTGAAATGCCCATTGGTATGGCCAAACTTGCACTAGTTTCCAGGTTATGAGAAATTAAAACCCATTCCAAAATCCTACACAAAACATATAACTGGCCACATATGTTGGTTCCTCAGCTCAATAAATCAATTTTCTCTGTGGTTTTAGAAGTTCTGTCAATAGAGACAGCTAAAAAAGGGCTCAATACAGCTTACTAGCCATTGTAAGGTGGATACATACATGTGGTACCTGTCTGAACATGAATACTTTTATTTTGTGAAACAGGATCACAGTCTGGCTAACCCCCCTAAACTCTGGGTCTTCAAGGCCAAACACTATTGAGAGGTTAATTATTTTTCAGTAAAAGTTTTTATGAGGTTAACAGAGAATATATTTTTTGGTTTTAACATGAATACAGGAAACCATGACACCCTTCTGTAGCTCACCCAATTCTCCAAAAAAATTCAGTTTCAATGACTTACATACTGGGTGTTTAAATTAATTATTTCCTTACTGAGTAAACAAAATCACTGAATGAATAAAAAAATTGGTATAAAACAAATTTGGCAAGCAGAGGCTTAAAAAATTAAGGTGTCATGTTTCAATCCAGGTTTTCTTAAATTAATGAGACTATGAATATTTTATACAACAAAAGGCGCACCCAAACTAAAACATATTATTTATTCATTGTTTCACAGAAAGCCATACACACAAGATAAATCAAGCTTAAGATACAATAGCTAACCAAATAGTGTGTCCCACAATCAAAGTGGCTCACCAGGGGGGAGTAACATTTCACTTCGAATCAGTGATGCTGCACACATTCCACCCAGATAGGCAAGTTCTCTCTCCAGGTGCCTCAAACCTTCCCATCCACTAGCACTTGCTCGAATCACGTGGCCATTAGGGTGAGGGCACTCATATCCTACAACCTGACACCGAAAACCATAGAAACTTGCTTTGTCATCTTTAATATAGTCTGAAGCAGTCTCCAAGGAGAATACCACTTCATTACCTGAAATAAAATAAAAAAAGTTAAAATATAAATCAGTCATGATGACTAAAGAAAAATCAATTTCACTTTTCCTGATAGGTATTTGGCATTTACTTGACATCCAAGAATGACTTATCACACTTCTGAGAGGGTTTACCTTATTTTTGGACTTGTTTAACACATTCAGGATTACCAAATAAAGCTTAATCTTTAACCCTCTCTGCCCGGGAATCATTAATTGTGCATGTCTTAGTGACTTACATTCAAAATTTTATTAAACTACTTTTTGTTTATGTTATACCAATTAGTATAGCATAATATCAAAGCTAATAATTCATATTTTAATAGTATACAAGTTTTAAGTTCTTAACTTTATAAGGCAATATTTAAATAAATCCTGAATTTCCCCTAGTATGATAAATGTAACCTATTTTCTCTAGACATCCCCTCTTCTATATTTTGTTCACCACCTCTGCAATAAGTATGAAATTTAACATACATTTCTCACTATAAAATCGTCATTGCACAGACAAACCATAATTTTTATAGCCTTCAATTTTGTTTGGCTACAGAGCCATCAAATAGAAAATCAGACCTGTCTTGTCACACCCACCTCTCATATCCTCTTTTTTCAGGATTTGTTAATATTTCTCTCTTATGTTTAATTCTATATTATTTATAACCAATAGAAAGCCAAGGTTTTCATCTATCAAATGATGTATTATATTATGTTGTTTTCTGAACAGAGAATTGTCAATTTCTCTTTTAGTACAAGCTTTGTTAACTTTACTCTAAGGAATGATAAGGATGATCAGAGTTGACATGGTAATTTTTTATAGTTGGGATAAAAGCTAATAAATTAATTGTTAAAGTTAATTATTTGAAAAAATGTTTGAGAGTTGAGATAGAAAGGTGTAAATGTGTAGAGATGAAGAAAAGGGATCTCAGTAATCTGAACATTTTGATGTCAAAACATAGGAATAAACAGTACTGGACATCAGTATGTTTTGAATATTGATATTGAGTTGTAGATGAGATGTGATTTTGATATGGACTTAAAATTATTGTTAAATGTGCAGTACAAAAACATTTCAACAGTCCTCACTCTCTTTCTAAATATATATATAGAATATTAATTACTGTCCAGAATGACTTGTGTAGTTTTATATATATGATAGAGATTGTGTTTATATAAAATATTAATTACTGTTCAGAATCACATATGCCATGTAATTCTTTCTTTGGTCTATGTATGTTTGTGTATATATATGTGATAGAGATCTTGTTTATATAGAATATTAATTACTGTTCAGATTGACTTATAAATACATTGAGTAATTCTGTATTGCTCTTATTGTTACAACTAGCCACTGATAAGTATGCAAAGATAAATCAATACATGAGATGTAAAGTTTGTAAACAGTGATTATATACTGGGTTTCATATTTCATTGAAATTATTCATTCTACCTGTTTTACTTAGAATGGGAAATTGTATTACTTTCAGGTATTTTGTTTTGCACATATATCAGGTAAATTTATTTTTAGGGAGTAGTTTGTGGCTGTCATCTTATGAACATCGAGAAAACATATCTTTCATTCCATTTGAGCATAAGTATTGGTTCAACCCTTCAGTAGATGGTGTTATTCAGTTTTGGACTTTTGTGATAATCCTTCAGGTAAGGAATTTAGCTTACACATTAAATATTTCAAATTAGGATTTGAAGTAATTTTAAAGACATTGCTGAATTTATTAAAGTGATAAAAAGTACAAACTAAATGAGAAGTTACTAAAATCATTACTATCCTGTTTTGTTTTATTTAATAAAAGAAGCATTAACAACCAGTTAATTTTTACAGTTTTTTTCCACACTTAAATGTTTTATGGAATTACTTTATGTACCTTTTTAAAGATAAAAGCTTATTCAAATAAAGTAGCTCGTCTCTATCATAGTCTTTGAACTTTTCTTCTGGTTGATAGTAAAACATATGGGTAGACCTTCTATACATGTTTTCATTTATCTCTTGTGCTATGCCTACATCTGTTTGTTAAGTGTATCATTATGCATGTGTATTCTTTGATATTAAGTGTTTTTCATAAATTCTGAACAAGTAGGACTTTAAATACTTTCTGCTATATTTAGTATAAAATGTAGCCTATGGATTGGGTAGATTAAGAGTTCTGTATATAGTAGCTCTGGTATCTTAAAAAGCCATTTGATAGACTGTGTGTGTTAATTTTAGATGCATGAATTATGAATTATTGAATGTAACTTTTTATATTTTTTATATCATGGTATACTTTTTAAAAGGATCGTTTTATACACTTGCTTGACTTACAGGTAATGATACCTATTTCGCTGTATGTTACAATTGAACTGATCAAACTAGGACAAGTGTTTCACATCCACCATGATGTAGAGTTGTATGATGAACACACTAACAAACGAATAGAGTGTCGAGCACTTAATATTCCAGAAGATCTTGGTCAGTTGCAGTTTGTATTCTCCGACAAAACAGGAACACTCACAGAAAATAATATGATGTTTCGACGATGTACAATTGGGGGTGTTGACTACAACCATCACACTTCAAATTTAGCAGGTAGTATGACTTTCTATTTTTATTAAAGATTTCTTTTTTCATGTTTTATTGTACATGGTTTTGTATAAAATGAGAATAATTTTATGTTGCTTTAACAAGAAGTATTATACATATGTTTAGCTGTATTGGTTATTAAGTGTTAAACCAATTTTCTTTTCATATCTATACTTATAGTTCTGTGTTTTGAAATATTTGGATTTTTATGTTGTTTTTTCCTATTAGATAGAAGGCACTTGGTAATTAGTTCACCAGTGAGCTAAAAGACTATTTTTGCATGAATTATGAATAATAACTAAATTTGTTTTAAAGAAGAAAAACTAATGTTTTTCTGCATTTCGGATGCTTGTACAAATTCCAAGTTTGATGAACTTCAACAAATACAGTAACTTTTTTTAATGTCTTCAATGCTTACATATGGTTTTTCTGATACAGTAATATTTTTTTTATCAAGAGTGATATTTTGCAAGCTGAATGTATCAGATGCTTCTTATTGTGTGATTATTAACTAGATAATACAAAACTAGAAGCTGGGGATGAGTGGAAGGGTATTGAAAAACATTCCAAAGTAAGTTAGATCCTATTAATTATCTATTTGTTATTAGCATTTTTGATCATGTAAGCATGATCACGAAACACTGAATTTGTATATAACAATATATGTTCTTTCTTTTTTGATTAAAAAAAATGGCTGCTTAAAATTTGGTTTAGTTTAATCATTAAATGTGTTATTAACTTTTTAGTTGAATAAAAACATCAGGTTAGCCTTTATTTCAGTTTTTATGTTATAAAGAACTTAAGACTATGGTAACAGTCAGTGCCTCTGTTAGACTGATAGATGTGCCTTGTAAAATGAATTTAAAACCTTTGGGGTAATAACAACTTTGCTTTTGTGATTTAGTTTTTCACAACTATTTGTTATATTCTATAGAAATATATTTAACCTAAGACATGCTGTCAAATACCTAGCTTGACATAGACATTTATTGAAGAATAAAAACATTTAAGTTCCTCACTTTATTCAAAACTTGAATGTACTCTTAAAACAGCATGAGTAATCTGTAGTTGTACATTTATTTTCTAGATTTCTAGTAAATACTTCATGAAGAAATAAGTTATTGCAAAGCAGTCATTGAGTAGTAAAAGCCTATATCTCTTTAACTGTGTTGAAAAAAAAAGTCATGTTGTTGTTAAACCTAATTAACGCTCTCAATATGGGATCGGTCAATTTGACTGACCACATGACCTCTTTGTACTCATTTAACATCTTTATAGATTTGATACTACTAACTTTTAATATAGTGTGTATATCTTTCACATGCAAAAAATCATATTTTTAATAAACTAAAAAAATATTTGTCCATGAATATATCGAGTATTTGTTTTGAATAATCTGTGTGCAAAGTGAATTTCATGTTAAGATAAAAAATACTTTTCTTCATCTCAAAAATATTAAATTTAATTGTGTTATCTCTGAAACTGCCTTAATTCATTTCAAATATTTGTTTTCAGTAAAACTTTATATTCTGTTGTTTTCTCTATCTTAACTGCATACAAGGTTGGTTAATTTGACCAACCATGTAACCAGCAAAAAAAAATTGAAATAAATCTAAATTACTCTCTTTTTTTTCTTTCTAGAATGTCTTCCAATTGTAACATAAAACTACATTGTTTATCCTAAGTAGCTTTAAACTTGTAACAGAATACTTATAATTAAATTTTATTGTTTTATTGCCCTTTGAACCAAGTTTAACTACTATTTGTGCCATTATAAGTTGTAAATTGTTTGGGGAATGTGCAGCTCACTTTATGCTATCAAATAACATTACCCATGAGCTGCATACCTTGTGAAACATTTTTATTATATTATTATTACTATTTATTTATTTTACCTGATCTAACCTTAACTAACATAAAAAATAAAGATGAATACAAGAAATAAAGTACTTACTAGTGTCTTCTTTTTTTTTTTTGTCTGTTGACTGTTAATGACAATTAACCCTACTTTTTTTTGTGCTAAAGCACTAAATAACTTTTATTTAATTAAATAATGCACCAGAGAACATATAATAATAATCATAACATGCAAAAAGCAGACAATTTCCTCTAAATATCACAATTTTTCTGGCTTCCTAACTATGCAACAAGAACTGTTCCAAATTCATCCTAGCTAGTCAATATGTTTCCCATGATAAATATATCTTATGGTGATCCAAAGAGAAGATTAATCTTTCTCTATCTAGGTTTTTCTCATAACAGTATTATAGATATCTCAAAGCACTCCTCCTACTTTGAGAAATCAAGTGTGATGTGACACAAACTGGATTTTATATAGATTGGATGATTTGTTGGAAAAAGGTTTGGTGCTTTTGCTGATACTTTCATTTACACTTATAAGGTTTCACGCCCCCCCCCCCCACACCTCCTCATATGGCCCCCTTGCACCCATGTCACTAAGATTGTAATGGGTAGACAGTAATCAAACTATTCTATCTGGATAAATGCATGCATTTTGGCTTTTATGGTAAAGTAAGAAAGTAAAGACAGTGTGAGACCACCTAGCCTAAAGTCAAGTGCATAAAATTTATCATGAAAGTAAAAAAATATCATATCTATTCAATTTTTAAACTTAAATAGTTTCTGAATTAAACTATATTAGGTTATACTTTTGTTGCTGAGCAACATGACATAAAAGCCAATTGTTGGAACATAGT